TATAAAGTAATAGAATTAACCTAATTTCTTTAAACCTTTAGTCCTAAAACCCTGCCATTACCTTGCATTTATTTAACTGTATATATAGATATATTGGCCTTATTAATTTAAAAGTAGCTGCCCTTATATCATAATAACCCTTTTAGCTATATTAAGAAGCCACTCTTTATATATATTTAATATACCTATAAAGGCAATAAGGAAGGCTACCTAATTTAACTAAAAGGGATAACCTTCTTTTAGGTCTCTTTTTAGATCCTTTAGGTCTAATAGCTTATAATTAACTTAAATTAGTTCGATTAGGCTATAAGGGCCTATATAATAAATTAACCTAATTAAATTGCAGTTAAAGATACCTATCTTAATAAGACTAGATTGGCTTTTTAATAAGAAATTCTTTTTAATTATAGCTACTATTATATATATATATATCTCTTTATATTCCTTTTTATTAGCTGCCTTTATAGTAGGTCTAATAGCTAAATTGAAGTTATAGCTAATTATATAATAGGTATAATTATATAGCTGTAGGCTATTTTATATAGGTATTATATTAATACCTATAATTAATATTAATAGCTATAATTAATAGGTATTTAGGTTAGGGAATGTATTTAGTAATAAATTTAATGCAGTATTCTTTTAGGTGGGTTAAAGGAATAAGGCTAATATAGCTGCCAAAAGGTAAACCTACAGGCAGTATTAATACTGCTTAAATAAGGCAGTAATTACACCACTAAGGCAGATAAACCTTATAAAACTCTAACTATTAAGATATAGGCCTACTGTAAAGGCCTTATTATTTAAGCCTTTATTTATTTAGGTAAATATAAAAATATAAAAAATAAATAATATCTTGTTTTATTATAATAGATTTTAAATTTCTAATTAATTATTATTTTTATAAATTAAATAAACTCTTTTTTACCTTTTTAATAAAGTAAAACAGTTTTATTAATAGGTTTTGCCATACAGCTGCCTTATTAACCTAAGTTAAGCTGCATAAAGGTCAGAAACTAGGCTGTAGATGTTTGCAAGAAATGCCTAGAACAATTAGTAAGTACCTACACTATTTACACCTCCCAGGCAGTGTCACATTTACCATTGACTGAAGGAGTCTGGTGCTCAAGGGCTGTATGTTATTGAAAGACGCTTTACTGTTAGTAATCGACCTGCCGACAGTGGAACCCTGAAAAGACTGACCAATCATTTCTATAAAGGCCGGGGTTTCAGCTCCAAGCGCCAGTAATCATGTCGTCACAAGCCAGGGCGCTTATATCAGAACTCAAACACCCAATAACAATCCTGCTGCAAGCGGCAGGGGAATTTGTATGTATGATCCGCCCAACTACTGACCAATCAAATGGGTCAGCTAGGAACAAGGTCACTCACCGCTCAGTGCCAAGAATAACAATCACAATGTAGCCTAGAATATCCACCATACCAGAGCTTCGTATTGTAGTCGACCTATCGGGGACACCATACATGATTGTTCACCAAGACTGCATGTTACAGATGAGCTGAATATGGTCCTGCCTTGTTACATCGACAATATCAGAGACCACTTCATTAGTGTTATCAAATATCGTATTGCAGAATCCGGAAAGAGATCATATTGCAGTCCCGATGCCTTCGAAGCGGAGAGGCCGAAGCCATAGCGATGCCGACAGAAGCCCAACACCATCCGCAGAGCGTAAGAGGCAGAAGCACGAAAAAGATCGCGGCGACAGTTCCGAACTGTGCATGGCAGATCTGTCGCCACCAAAAGTCCAGCCAGAAAATTATTCTGTCGGTTGGATATGCGCTCTAGACATTGAACTAACTGCCGCGGAGTGCATGTTAGATGCGTCACACGGAAATTGCGATCAAGATACCCATGACAGCAACACATACATTCTTGGGAGCATTGGCGAACATAACATTGTTCTGGCCTGTCTCCCTGACGGCGGAGCCGGTAACAACAACGCCGCCATAGTTGCTACCCACCTGCGTCGAACTTTTCCTTCTATAACTCTAATGTTAATGGTTGGGATTGGAGGTGGTGTTCCTGGACCGCATAACCCGCGTCTCGGGGACGTGGTGATAGGTAATGAGGTCATTCAATACGATCTCGTCAAAAGCTTCGACGATCATGTTCAGCTTAAAGGCATTGCTCGCCGTCCAGATTCGAATGTGCGCACTGCTTTGACCAGGTTCAAGGCTGATCATGAAACGCATCAGAAGAACATCTCGAATATTCTGCAACGTCTAAAAGAATACATTGCACCGGATCCGGCTTTAGACGTGTTATTTTGCGGTGACTGTGAGTACTCTCCCGCCCAGAATTGCGAGTTTTGCGACCAGCAAAACCACAGACGACGGGCACCTCGATCAGCAGAACCTCACATCCATTACGGAAGGATTGCATCAGGAAACCGGGTTGTGAGAAACGCTATAGAAAGGGACAGAATTGCAGAAGAGCTTGATGTTCTCTGTATCGATATGGAAGCAGCAGGTGTCATGGACAGCTTCACTTGTTTATCGATACGGGGGCTGAGTGACTATGCGGACTCTCATAAGAACGATATATGGCAAACACACGCTGCAAATGCAGCAGCAGCGTGCACAAAGGAATTCCTTGCTGTTGTGCCTTCCAGGGCACTTCCAGGTACGTAGTGGCTGCAGCACCGTGAATCGCGACCTTTAAATTAAGGTTTTTGATTTGACTAGTATAAAAACAGGTTCTTCTTCAGCTAGCATCAACACTTCAAGCTCGGCTCGTCAGCAGCAGCAGCCTAGAGTAGTCCTTCGCAACATCAAAACGGGAAGACGCGGCCGTCAGTTATTTGAGACCAACGAAGGATTGGTGGTCTCAAATGTTTCTGCAGAAGACGATTCTGTTCAGGCTTTTGGATCAAAAGACATTCTTCAAATAGCTTCTGGTATCTGTACGACAGAAAATATCGAGTCTCCAGATGCCGATAACTCAACGGAGGAGCTAATGGATGAATGTGCCTCAGCGTATGCTCGCCGTTGATAAACTATTCAATAAATAATTTTCTTCCTTATCGCCGAATATCATTTACTACTCCAAGCTTCTTTCCCGTGCCGGTTTTGAAATTTGATGGTTCAGCGTTCTGGCGGGGGGCAGCTGCTTGACGACTGCCCAGCATTTGCGCGAGGTCCTTGACTGATGACTCTTCCCAAGCGCCAACGACCTGCCATGAATGGTTTCCCGCTTCAACATTTTCTGCGTCATACAGATGGTCTCTGGTTGACAATAATAACTGTACACCACATTCGCCAACTGTAATATTTTTGAGTTTGTGGGTGGGCCGGTCGATGCTCGAAGGCACGTCTTGCAGGTCGGGTTTGAAATCGTACTCCATACTGAATGTAGTAAGTGGTAGTGGATGAATAGACTTTGGGTTGAAGTTTTGAAGTAAGAGAATAAGTGCTTGAGCGACGGTGCAGGGTCAAATGCAGGTCGGGGTTTAGACCTTGGCCTTATTTCACCTCGAATGGAAGGACAGTCAACCATGGCCGGCTACTGCGTTCATCCGATGGCCGAAATGGAAAAGAGGGGGCCGGCGCTTATTGCGCCCTCTTGTGGCCAGACTCAGCGCTACCGGGAGAATATCGGAAACACCAAGACTGATCGACCAGCTCTCGAATTAGTCAGCCAGTGAGAGGGCAGATCAGAAATTAGTTCCTGCTAGCGGATTAAGGTAGGCAAAAGAGATCTATTTAATAAGAAACTTATATCTTAATAACATCATAGGCCAACTTATTATAGTCTCATTTTAGAATTAATACCGTTTTTTTTCTAAACGAAAATATCGGCCTCGTAGAGATTAATGTTGCTTGACTGGGGCCTGTACTGCCGGCAAGTACAATGTGCTTTGAGCGATGCAAGGTGAGCTTTTACCAAAAGCAAATTGATTATTTCTTTCCACTGTCTAATTGTAGTAGCTTAGAGCTTTCTCCAGGCTGATCCATTGTTTTTCCATTCAGTATGCGAAAGAAAGTCTTTGATACGATACTATCACTGGCAAAAGGAATAGTTCGGAATTGCTTTGTTCGAGATCTGTCTTCTACCTCGTGCTTCCGTAGGGACCTGCCAAACTTTGATGTAATGTTGTGGAATTTGGCTTGTTGAGGAATTCCTTTGCGGCGTACGGAAGACATTGTTGGAGAGCATAAAATACATCCCTCGATCCATATTGTATGTATCCAATAACCATTCGCCGCAATTCTCAATGCTCTTCATTCCGGTCCATCGGTTACGTATCTCAGAGGGCCCTACAATGGGCTCCTCTAGACTCCCTACATTGTGATGAACCTTCATTGTTAAATGGCCGGTACAGAACCATGCAAGTTTATCGGAAGAATCAAGGCCAATAACAAGGTCAACGTTTAGATTCGGATCAATCACAGATTTTCCATCTTCTAAGGAGACAGGGGAAGGTACTCTGGGTGCCCATTGAATGAATGGGATAATCCACGGGACGAAACATTTAGTATGAATGATAATCCTCGAAACAGATGCTTTTCCGATTCTTAAAAGCCGTCGGAAAGCATCGATGAGTATATCTACTGCCTTTGCACTGGGAAAGACCGTATCCTCTCGTAAGATAGTGTTTGAGTTCTCGTCTAAGTTATTGCGCTGGCATGAAAATCTGTGCCAACCTAGAATTAAGTCAGTGAATCGAGACCGGAATAGCCTTACCTCCATAGCAGACAATAAAGCGCTAGGTTACTTCGTCGTTACAAGTAGCGTTTTATTGGTGGCGGCACTCTTTAGCATTACATAGAACTCTGATGCTGCTTCAAAGGGGCCTGCAGCTGTCACCAGGGCTGCTGCTAAACCAAGGAATTGTATGCCAGATGCGCTCTTTCCAATTTGAGTAGCGTTGTAGTTGTGAAAATGGCCAACAGAATTTCTTAAGAAAAGCAATGGTAGCTGGTGGATTTGTTGGAAGAACATCGGTTTCGATTTTACGATAAATCTCATGGCACATGGGGATGGTAGCACTAAACTCATCGGAGGTTAGCAATGCTAGAGGTTGGATGTTATTGCTTGTAGCTACATGAGAGATTCCTTGAGAGATCGAAAGAGCAACGCTCACAGTGGAATCTAGGCTCCACTTTGCTGCGACCGCCATGCTGAGAGAGTTTAATTTTGCAATCGACACACTGATGACACTGAGATAGCGTCTTCTAAAGGCCTCCCCACACATGATTCTGGCCGTCGACATGTTGGTCTTCTTGCGAGAATTCCCAAATGTTTCTTGACATTCCGGAACCGCACTACTCGGATTCAGCTCAGAACCGTCAGGCTACTTCTAATTAGCAGCACTCGCACTCTTCCTCTTTCCTACTAAAACTCTAGCTTTGAGCTAATGGGATCTCCTGTTTATCTTGGCTATCTACTTTGAACTTTATCCTTCTCTTCACTCTCACATCACTACCGTCGTGCCAAACATCGGCTATTCTTTGAAACCGCGTAGGGGTCTGGACCGCCCCTAATCACCTCCGTCTTGAGTCTTTCCAACACGTGCGTGATATGGAGCAACCACGAAGCCCTTATCTCGCAAAGGGCGTTTGTAATTTAGCTTTGTCTTTACCAATTGTGTGAACTGGGGAAAATAAGTTTATCTTGACCTCTTTGCAACGCTTTTTATGGCCAAGCGGCTGTATTGAAGCCTTCTCGTTTACCATCCCTGGGCTACCCTAGGCCAGATCAATGGCGGCGCCCACTTCTCCTCTGCATCATTATCATGACAGGAAATTGTAACGCGCCAAAACATGAACAACTAACCTTACAACCGGGGCCCACGAAGGAGACCAGATATTAGTGAACGTTTTCCATCCCCTGGGAAATATAAACATGTCCCTCAGTACGCCAGCCAGGCTAAGAACGCGTTTGGGCTAAGGCACGAGACACGATACCGAACATTATAAAGCGGATTAACAAAACAGTATTGGGATGTCTCTTGACTTTAGTTTCAGCTTCGAAGTTCCTCTAGGTATCATAGGAGTATCCGTTTAGCGCGGCTGGAGGAATTAGGGTTTTGAAGCCAACCTTGGCACAGGTCAGTGCCGCTCTGCGCAGCTAAGTCTTCATGCCCTTAGGAAACTTTATCGGTTTAGGGGCATATCAATATGTATATTGATATATTCCTTCGGTGTCCACTCCTACGTACTTGGATAAGTCGACCGTTGCACAATTAGTAAGCATACCTTTGCGGCTAGGTGAAGCAAGTTAGTCTAGCTCAATGTTAAGCTTAGAAATGGGACGTACAGCCGTACTTGGCTGATAGCGGAAGAGAGACTTTCTGAAATCAGGCGATCCTCATTGTGCATCTTGGTCACTAATGATCAGCCCGCAACCTTGATAAACTCCCACAAAGTGCCACCGTCATCGTCTCGAAATAAGCCACTTCCATCCTCCTTAGCAGAAACCTGTCTCTGCTTCCAAAAGTCCAAGGCCTGGATTTGGTACACGCCACCCTCCATATGACGTAGAGTAAAATCCTCCCAGCCTTTGTGATGGTAAACCTTTGCGTAGAAATCCCACCAAAAGTCATGACCAAGAAAGGACCCCATAGCAATATTCTTGAAACCTCTAAATCCGTCTCTCTCATTACATTCCCACTGTGCCTGCTCCGAAATGTATGTTTGGGGTTTCTCCAGATCCATCCGCTCGAGGCGTAGATGGCCATTGTGGCACGTGAGGACGCGGCCACGGGCAACGTCGTAGATGAGATATTTGCCGTCGTGGTGAGGATTAGACTTACGAGTGAGACCAAGAGAACAATTCGAAGCTGCACCGATATTCGTTGAAGCCGGTGTGTACATTGGAGTGTCTATTCCGCCACTTGAATCATCAGGCCAGTCCTCACCAGCATCGGCTTCGGAAACGGTGCGAGGTGTCATCACCCCAACGCTTGATAGAGTGCTTGACATTGATGCTGGTGGACTTGGATCCTCAACTCAAGATACCGATCGAGATGGTACAGACAAGTGCCAGCAGACTTAGTAGATGAAATTTAACTTTAGGTATTGATGTTGCATGAATGGAGATATCCTACTACCCCGCTCTCTTTTTTGTACTGTTGGCTGCGTGGTCGGCTGACTGATAGCAAGTAACTAATCACAGAGTTGAGTTCATCGACCCACTTTAGGCCTCGTAAGGGATGATAATTGCCAGGGTGTAAAGTTGACTTGACTTGATCCTGTAATGGAAGAAGAGCGGCAATCAGCACAAGGGTTTGCCATGCCCTTGTCACAGAACACGACGCGACCTGTTCTACCTCTTTTAGCTCTAGCCTCACGATTCTACTACCTGTTTGGGATCAAAATGTGCTTCCAATTGGGTCAGCGTTATAAAGCTAATCGCTAGGCGAGTCAGTAAGGTGGATCTTTGTGATTAGCGTTTCCTCCCTAGTCTGGAGATGAATCTGACTGAACCAGCTCTCGACGCTGGTTTGCCCGGAATGCCATTCAAGCCAAGACTACCAATTGCTAACGTGGCCATGCTCGCGGTAGCGATCTCCCCTCTTGGAAACCCTAAAATGACGGTAGGGGGCTGATCTTGAGACCTTTGCCTTTGACAACCCGAGAGGATGTCTTGAGCTTAGTGATTCGCAGATTAAAGTGAACTGAGTCAATTGATCAGCTAGGCATCTGTTGATCAAGGTGTACTTCAAGGTAAGGGTTTTGCCCCGCTGTTCCATCAGTAGTCTCCGTGAGGACCTTAGGAGCATGGCTCTGTATCGCACTCTGGTAACAGATACAATGAGATTGCTTTTGGACTTTCTGCAGATTGGAGATTGGCAGGTGATAGATCTGGCTTCGATCCCTCGGATTTCTTGCAACTTCCTGACGGTGGCCTCTGTACGCATTTTGCCATTGCCATAACACTTGTCATTCATAAAAACGCGCTACCTCAAGACTAATTTACCAGCGAAGACATCAATTGTATGGACCTCGAGTGTAAGAAGATGAAAAATTGTATCTACATCACCAGCAAAGGCGAAGGCGAGCATGCTAGACGTTCACAGGCGCAACGTGACGAGGCCCTTGAAGAGCCGCAGTTGCTTTTGAGTAAACAGATAGAACACCTTGCAACTAGTCTGTAATAGCGCCATATTGCCGTCCTATATACTTCCAGGCAGAGCTATATATCAGTAGTCCATCTCTAGGAGGAGTTATTTACTTTAACTAAATAGTTATCGAGTTTCCAGTCAATTAGGGTGACCAATATAAGTCTTCAAACAAGCAATGCCTTGGGGTATTTATTAAGGCCTGCCTCAAGAAGTATGGCAAGTCGCCTAATGCTGATCATATCCTCCCATTAAAGGGGGGGGGGGGGGGGGGGGTAAGG